CGTCTGAATCTAACAATAACAAATACTTCCTGGCATGCAATGAACTTTTAAGCCAGCCGCAGGACGCTTCGTAATCCTCGATGGCCGTAGTTAGCTCTCGAAGGCTAAAAACCTTACGCTAACTAGAGTGCTAATGAGAGAAAAGCGCTGGCCATCGAGGACTACGAAGCGTCCCGTGGGTGTTTTTAGCATGATAACAAGTAAAGCATTCGAGGAAACGTTCGTTTATTTGAATGTCCGTCGAGCCATAAGCAATTTACTCTGAGCAGCTAATCAGATGCTACGGATCTAGCTTCAGTATCTACACACATAGACAGTGAGGTCCTCTTGGCCAATCGGAGGCTAGGATGATGCTCGGTAAGCCAATGGCAGAGCAGCTATGAGTATGTTGAGTCCAGGAAACTCGCAGCTGTGACCGAAATAAACATCGTTCACTATGTAAACCAGTGTGGTGGTTGCTGTTGCCTTTTATCGAACGAAGCAGTAGAGGTCGCTGTTGGATAAGACTTCGTTGTAGTGAATGTCTTTGAGAGGCTGGAGCAGAGAAAATGATTTCGTATAACGCAACAGGGGGGTTTTCGTCGTATGGGGGGGCAGGAGAATGGGAATTATGTTAATGCACGAAGATTTTTTCACATAATGGGGTATTTTCGCCCATGTAGGTTTCGTTCTAGAGGAGTTTCACTGTAAAAGGACTTTTTTGGTCAGAGACCAGGGTTTATGGTAAAACCAAATTCATGTTTTGCTGCTGATTCTTGTGACGAACCGAACAAAGCAGAAACAAACTTTTTCTTTTCCCTTGGTGAGAAATCAAAAATGTTATATTTATAGTACGATACATTAGGGCCACTGCAAACTAAAAAAAAACCCAATATTAAAATATAGTTCGAAAAACATTTTTGCAACATCCACAAAAGAAGGTGATCTAAGTGGCATATTTCCATTTTTTGAATTATGGTACAGTCATACCTCGGTTTTCGACCATAATCCGTTCCAGAAGGCTGTTCGAAAACCTATTTGTTCTTTATTGAACGCATCTGTTCACCATGGAACGCTAAACGAGGAAGCGACACTTCCTTGTCTACACGAGGAAGCGTCACTTCCTCGTGTAAGGAAGGCAAGAGGAGTCAAGTGACGCATTCAAGTGCGCTCAGTTTGCTCGAGAACCGAAAATCGGTCGTCATCCGAGGCATAAAAAACTCGAAATTTTTGGTCGAAAACTGATTTGGTCGAGAACAGAGACGTTCGAAAACCGAGGTTTGACTGTATTTTTATGATCATAGGGCGCACTTAAAACTCTTAAATGTTCTCCAAAATGGACGGGGAGCCTAATAATGCGAAGCGGCTTACGTATGCACAGAAATCTGTGAATGCTGTTGTGTGACTCTGATGAGGGGCCCGCTTGACTGACTGTTGTGAAAGCGCTATATAAATCAGGATATATTGTATTGACGTGCCGACACGTTTGTTATATAGAGTAAAGGCGGACATAACTGAGGACAGCATGCGGACGTTGAAGTGGGAAGGGTGGGCGTGAAAGAGGAAGCTAAAGGCACGCCCCCAGTAGGTTTATATAAGTGTATATAGTATGCGGTACGTGCATTGTGCAAAACAACATCACGAGAATGACACCTGCAAAGAGACATGCTTACGAAGCACAGTTTAAACTGCAAAATATCAGTTACGCGCATGAGCATGGGGAATGAGCAGCTGCGAGAGAATTCAAGATCAACTAATCCGTGGTGCTTGATGATTTTGTTTTACGACACAGCACCATCCATCCATTTGGGTAACGACGAGTGTAGCGAAGCAACATCCGGCGGATTACAAAGAAAAGCTGGCTATTCTCCGATTCTACTGATGTAAAAAGTGTAATGTTCTGCGTTGCATTAAATGAAGATGGTTTCTTGGAAATTTTAATCCTTTCTTCTGCCGCTCTGCTGGCCTCACTTGGCTTGCATTACCGAGTGTTCTCTCAACCAATCCCCACATTTCTAGCTTACCCGCATGGCCTACGGCAAGTGATGAGGGACAAGCATATTTTGCAATTACAACAAAAAGATTGCTGACAAACACATCTAGCTCAACCACATCTCCAACATGGATGAAATTCCCCTCACTTTTGACAACCACAATATAAAGATGAAGGGGACAAGCACGGCCGCGATAAGCACAGCGGAGCGCGAGAGGTCTGCTTTTACTGTTGTGCTTGGTTGCCATGGTAATAGAAACAGCCAAAGTGAAGTTGCGAGTGGCGTGGGAGCAATGGCGAACACAACTGTACTAAGACTGAGAGGCAGCGCCGGGCGAGTTACGCGACAATTTGTGAATAGATTGTGGATGCTTGGTCTTACATGTCTGCTTGCGGTGTTTGTTCAAGCTTTCGCACCATTTCTGAAGAGACGCATGGCAACGAGAGTGAGTGACAATGACTTTGCCAGCTGTTTATTTCGGATACAGAAGATGAGGACTTTCATGGATAATGTGGGTGAGGATTGATTAAAAAAAAAAATAATAATAATAATAATAATAATAATAATAATAATAATAATAATAATGTGAGGACATTGTTAAATACTTCAATAAAGTAACTCAGTTTTGCTCACGCTGCCTTTTTAAAAACATGCTAGCGTGCGTGCATGCTACCGCATTTTTTTAAGCTAACATACTGTACGTTTTACTATGCCTGTGTTCATTAATGCAGTGGTTCTTGTGTATGTGTTAAATATAGAAATAGCACCTGTAACTGACATTACGCCTCCACATATGGTGCGCCGTATGGTCGTGAAAATACGGTGCCGTGTGTTCAACTTATCCAATGAAACAAACCTTGTGGTGACATCAGCAAGTTGACGCTCTCCAGTACATCCAGGAAGAGTTCATTGCGGCGATATTTGATGCCCTCGCGACGCCAGCCGATCTGGCCTGTCACCTGGCTGGTGATTTGAGACTGCTCCTCCTTTGTCTACAGACAGCAGCACAAGGCTCGTCAGAAACCGACAAAGCCAGCAGGCTGGCGAAACGCAAAATGGGATTGAGAGCAAGTGGTTGTGTGCTACAGCTGGCAACGCGTGGTGTGAAAGGCAAAGTAGAGTCGGTGTTTTTTTTTTTTTTAATTACCTGGTGCTGAAGCAAGAAGCAGTAATCCGGATCATATGTGGAATGAATGTGTAAAAAGAAAGAAAATAGTTATTGAAATCACACTTGACAAACAGAACCACACACACACACACACACACACACACACACACACACACACACACACACACACACACACACCAATTTAAAAGCATTGTACTTTATGCCTGAAAGTTAAGCATTGTTGCATCACCAGCTATTAAAGAAAAAAAAAATCATCAGTTCAACTCTCACATTTTTTAAGAACCAACTTAACCTGTATTTGCTGAAAAAGTCAGAGATCCATGGACAAATGAGATAACATTTGAAAAATTCACTAAGGGAGGACACTGACCTGTCCCTTAATGCCCTGTTGAGTGATGAAGGTCTTCAGAGCTCCAGTTTCGGAGTTCTGAGGGTAGCCAAAGTCCAGAATTTCTGTGTGAACAAACAAAATGGCACCCGGAAACAGATAAGATGGTTAGTTCACCAAGAAAACATGCAGCTGACTCAAGTGATTTATCCTGTAATGGACTTCTTACCGTCGAGCAGCTCATAGATAAGTACAAAGTTGTTCTTGATGTTCTCCTCGCTGATCTTGCCAAAGTAGGCTGTCATGACGTCACACATCTTGTACAGGAACTCGAACACCATGGCGGCGTTGACATTCTGCTTAGTGACGGCTGCCAGCCAGATGTTGGAGCGCTTCACGTGGAAAAAACTGGTGCGGGCGATGTTGGTCACCGGCGAGCGGACCTGCTGTCGTGCGTGGATCACGTTCACACGGAACGCGTCCACTGCGTTGCGCCTGCAATGCGAGGGCGATGGAAAATCATTAGGGAGAAAAAAAAAACATTCTTCTGACTGCAGTGAATGGCAGCGTGGATGCTCACAGAGAAAAGCTGCCAAAGAGAAGGGACAAAGAAGATGCTTAAGGGATATGTTGATACCTCAACAACAGCTGTCGCCATCAGACGATCGAAGCCTCAAAGTTAGTTCACAACACCTTGTCAAAGAACAAGTACTGCATTCCTTGGATACATACAGTAATCGTCCGCTTTTTTGCAGGGAACGGCACTGAGTTTTGCCACAAATAGCCGAACAACAAAAGTGACGCTCAGCCACTAAAAAGGTTTTCATTACCCAATAGTTTAAAAATTAAACATATCACGAAGCATGATCCCAAAACACTTTAATATAATGTTAAATTCATCTTACACAAACTATTTGCTCCCTGTCGCATATCGCGTCACCACCGTACACATCATTACGCACTAGCGGATTCAGATTACCGACTATATCTCTTGTGGGGGAATATATATATATATATATATATATATATATATATATATATATATATAATTTCTATGAATTAAAATTAATTGTTTGAAGTCATCACTTGCTGGTCGCTTGCGCCATCAGTCGCTTGTGCCATTTTGTTTTCCTGCTCACAATGCATAAACCTGTTGAATGACCATCAAAACCCACCAAGTGCATTGTGGGTAATTTTGCATGCACTGTGAATTTGTATCAAAGGGTACTCTTTAACTATGAGGGACAGAATGTAAAACAAAAATGCAGAAAATCACAGTTGCTGATTTTTAAATAATTTACATTTTGGTGCATTACATAAGCATGCCCAGCGACAGCCCCGAAACCTGAACGCTCTGGAGAAGATCTGTATGGAGGAGTGGGCCAAAATCCCTGCTGCAGTGTGTGCAAACCTGGTGAAGAACTATAGAAAAGGTCTGATCTCTTTAACTGCAAACAAAGGTTCCTGTATAGTCTGTTTGACTGATGTATCAAATACTTATGTCTTGCAATAAAATGCGAATTAAATATTTAAAAATCATCAACTGTGATTTTGTGGATTTTTGTTGTTTTTGATTTTGTCCCTCATAGTTGGAGAGTGCCTTTGATACAAATTACAGACTGCTACTTGCTTTGTACGTCAGAAAACTTCAACAATCAGCAGAGTAACAAATACTTGTTCTCCCCACCGTGTGGGGTTGTATAATGTAATTTTTTTAAAAAATCTGTAACAGCATACCATAACATATTCAATTTGCACTTGAAATGGTTGTAGGTGTTTTTTGACTCCTATTTCAAAGAAGTTTGAAATGCAGTTAGTTTGAGCAACCGCATTAACTCATTCAGTACCAGCCAATTCTGGACCAAGTCTGAAAAGACGCTTAAAAACGTCTTTGGGAGTGAATGAGTTACCGGTAATTGGTTATTTTTACCCCTTCTGAATAGATGACATTTTTTAAAGTGTGTCGTACTGGTTATTGGCCTCTTCAATGGTGAAAATAGTTTGGCAATGACTTATCGTGGACAATTTTTTTTAATCACAAAAATTTGGCATTTGAACAGGGCTGTGGACTTTTTGCATCCATGTACGTATTTCCTTGACACCAATTTTAGGTAGGGAGTTGTCGGGTATTCCCAAAGTGTATCAAAAATAGTCTTTCAAATAGGCAATTTGAGTTAACATTTCACAGAAAAAAAGATGAACAGTAAACCATGGAATGTGGGGAATTACTGCCGAATTAAAAAAAATGCTTTTGCGTTGACTTCACTGCATCAGAAGGGACACACCTCAATGGGAACTTGATCATACTATCCATATGAAGAAAAATGCAAAGCATGGACACAAATGATCGGTCCATCATATCCCATGCGCAGACTCCATGCTAATGCTTTGGTAGCGCTTGTGTGTGTGTGTGTGTATTTTGCTTGGCTACTTTCCATCAGTCTGTGTTGGTTGGATTTGTTTTATATAGCAGGTGACTCATGCTTCAAGAACGTTTCTGGTGAAATTCACTGGCATGCAAGTTTAGGTTGTGGTGGGAGGGTTGGAGGGGAGGGGTGTCTACTTGGTTTATGGCCATGAGAGGGAAAAGGTGAAGGGGATGGGGAGGCCATGCTTGTTAGGTATGAGTTTCTCTTACCTATTCCTACATGGGCCAATGTGGACAGATGGAGGAAAGTGGTGATAGAGAGGAAAAGATGATGAAGACTTGCAAAAATGCACAAGACACATTTTTGTGCATGATTTACACAGACACATGGTGTTGATCTTGATGTCATATGAAACCGATTTAGTAGGATTAATGGGTCTTACACCAAATGATGAGGAGGAGAACTTGTCTTTGCTGTGGATGAGCAAAGAAAAGCGAGTGTGTCTGCGCTGGATGAAAGAGGAACAATCGTGAAGGAGGTACAAGGCACCTATGTGGGAGCTAATCTATTTTTTTTCCTTGAACATGTTTAGAAATACAGTATAAGTATATATACAGTATATATACAACCGTCGAGACCTTCAAGTTCCTGGGAATCACAGTCTCCCAGGACATGCAGTGGGAAGTCAACACCATCTCCATCCTGAAAAGGGCCCAGCAGAGGATGTACTTCCTGAGGCTGCTGAGGAAGCATGGCCTGCCACAGGAGGTGCTACGTCAGTTCTACACGGCAGTCATCAAATCAGTCCTGTGTTCTTCCATCACGGTTTGGTTTGGGGCCGCCACAAAAAAGGACAAAATCCGACTTCAACGGACAGTTAGGACGGCGGAAAAAAATCATTGGCACCGCCCTACCCACTCTTGAGGACTTGCACACTGCAAGAATCAAAACAAGGGTACGGAAAATCCTCCTGGATCCCCCGCACCCTGCCCACCACCTTTTCCAGATACTCCCCTCAGGCAGGCGCTACAGATCCATGCGCACCAAATCCAGCAGACACTTAAACAGCTTCTTCCCTCTAGCCATTAACTCCCTAAACAGTCACTGACATTACGAAATGTCCTTCCATACCTATTTGTCATGTCCTTGTTTATGATGATACTAATGCAGCGTGTTATACCGGAGACAAATTCCTTGTGTGTTCTACATACTTGGCCAATAAAGATGATTCTGATCTGATTCTGATTCTAAGAGGGTAACTTTGTGGACTTTATTAATTTTGCAGTTTTAAATTCTACAACATCAGAAAATTGTAAGATTTGGATTGGAGGAACAACTGGTTTGTGTGTGTGTGTTGTTTTGTTCTGTTTGTCAAGTGTGATTTCGATCGAATCCCAAGCAACAGACTTACCCTATATCATCTCGGTAGACCCGAGAGATGAGGACCTCCCCCTTGTGGTTGTAGATGAACAATCCTCCGATCATTGTGGCAGCTCCTCAGACACAAAAGGCCATGATGAAACCAAACTCTGCCTAAGGAGACAGCGACACGGGCAATGAGGGGAGGGAGGAAAGAGTGGAGAGGGGGTGATGAAGAAGTGAAAGCTGCCGTTAGTGATGATCATAAAAGAGAGACATTTAGACATTTGCCCCTGCACCCTCCCCCCTCCCCACACACACACAAACACACTTAACTGCTCATCGAAGAGACCCTGTAGCTGCACTACTGCGATGCATTGTCCATGTACTCACTTTATCCTCACTGGCAAGACAATTCAGCGCACTCTTAAAATGGCTACCATGACCTGATACACGCAAAAAGGACAAATGTCTTTTTTTTTTGCCCCTTCTCGAATATGATTATTTTGTTTTGTAAAATGATCCCGTAAAATAATCCTGTCGTCGTGTGTTGAAAAATCACTAGTAATTAGGACAGTTGTGGCCCGTTGGACGAGTGGTTAGCGCGTCGACCTCATAGTGCATAGGTCGTGAGTTCGATCCTGGCTCCGACTTCCTGTGTGGAGTTTGCATGTTTTCCCCGTGTCTGCGTGGGTTTTCTCCGGGTACTCCGGTTTCCTCCCACATTCCAAAAACATGCATGGCAGTCTGATTGAATGATCTAAATCAGGGGTGTCCAAAGTCGGTCCTCAAGGGCCGCTGTCCTGCCTGTTTTCCAGCTTTCCCAGGAGCAACACACCTGATTCGAATAATCAGGATCGATCTAATGCTGCTTCAGAGCTGGCTGATGAGCTGATCATCTGAATCAGGTGTGTTGCAGCCCAGAGAGATGGGAAACAGGCAGGACAGTGGCCCTCCAGGACCGGAGCTGGACATGCCTGCTCTAAATTGTCCCTAGGTGTGAGTGCGAGCACGGATGGTTGTTCGTCTGTGTGCCCTGCGATTGGCTGGCAACCGGTTCAGGGTGTCCCCTGCCTACTGCCCGAAGACAGCTCCAGCACCACCCGTCTGAGGATAAAACGGATCGGAAAATGGATGGATGGATGAATTAGGACAGTTATTCTATGAGTGCACAGAAATGTCAGACAGTAGGGGGAAAACTCAGTCAAAGAAAAAGGCAGTCTACAAGGGCACACTAATACCCCTTTCCCACTGCCGCAAAACTACAGGTAAACACGCATTTTTGGGCAGTGGGAAAGGCTCACCGGCCAGTGTCGATTGGTGTCCACCAGCACGCCATGGGAGGCGGGTTGTGACTCGCCTTCTGTTGGGTCAATGGGAAAGGGACAATATGCCAATTGGTTGCGTGTCGCCACGGGTCACGACTATCCACTAGTTTCAGTGGGAAAAGGGTATAAGAGTGCCGTTCTACTAGTGCAGTGAATTGTGTTAGCAGAGATGACAAAGAGCGTATTAGCACATGGACAATTCGGTGTACCGGTACCTCTTCCTACTTTTGGCTGGTGCACTCTAGTTGTTCTACAAGTGCACAAAAGTAGAGGCGCAACATTGAATTGTTTAAAACTAAATAAATATGAATCGATTATCAAATAAACTACAATAATTTTGAGAATCAACCAATCACTTAGAGATCTTGTTTAATTTAAAATTATTCAAATCCGTGTAATGTCAATCTCAACATTAAGTAATCTTAAATTTCTGTAGTCCTCCATGAAATCAAACCGATTACCATTTTGTTTAATCAAGGAAATACATTTGGAAACATATGCTTTCCCTTTGGAAAAATACGATCAAGATTTTTTGGGGGACAATTTTCTGACATGTTGTGGACCAAACCAGTAACTGAATCATGATTAATTTATGTTTGTGCGTTATCTGCACTGTCTATTTTAAATAAATGCTGTTTTTATGTTTTTTCAAACGGGGGATAGAAATTCATTTTCCAGATTCATCCATAAATGAAAAGAAAAAAAATTGACTGATTAAATGGCTATTAAAATAACGGTGAGTTGCATCCTTAATCTTCACACATGCAGGGCACACGAAGGCACACCACATTTACCGTATTTTCACACCTACCACACCGCATTAAAAGTCTAAAATTTTCTCCAAAGTGGACAGCACGCCTTATAATGCGGAGCGTCTTGTGTATGCGCTGAGTACCAAAACCTCAGAGCCTACACACTGTTTATTAAACATTTTATTTGTCCTCCACAACGATGGCCAATTTCACCTCAGTGACTCCTTTCTTATATCCTCTGTGAGATTACCACCAGATTAACAGCAAATAGCGTGGAGCAGGGTGACACCAACGAGATTGTGATTTCGAATAGACACTGGGTACGGTTAGTCTTGACCATGACCATGGAATAAAATCAACTAAAACACAGAAGAAGCAAGAACATGAAAACGTTTTCACAATTTGCTGGAGTAAGCCATTAACATAAGAACACGAAAACAATATTTTCCTCATCTTGCTGGGGTAACTCGTTCATTTAATATCACAAACAACATCGTATTATGTGGGTTACATCTGAAACCACGACTGAAGACTGGAAAAGCAAAGACGATTGGGCCATGCTTGAAATTCCTGCAGGACAGAGCCTCTCCAAATAAAACGCGGCGATTCGAAGAACAACACGACATCAACATACGACCCGAAAATGTTACAATATTTCCATTCGGAACTATTGCAGCGTTGTGGCTGAAGAAACCTGCGATGACCATGTCACGAGTCGACTGCGGTGGTCCCCATATCGGCCCAAGTCAAGATGTCTGCTGATTCGGCCCACTTCCTTAACGTTTATTAATCTTTCATTCGGTTCTCGTTTCCACGCCGACTACGGAATTACAGCTGTATTCGGAACATTTGGGGGGAAATGGATCGTGTTAACGCTGTAATGTAGGCCTGACCTTCATCTTCGATCAAAGTGATGGATAAGAAAACCCCGAGAATGAGTTTTAGCAAGCTAATTTAGCTTAGGGCAGCGGTCCAGCAAAAAACCTACCTTGCAGCAATTTCCGATTCCAAGAAAATAAAAAGTGACACGAGCACCAGTCTTCCAATACTCATGTATGATATCAAAATACTAATCAGTTGAGAATAACGTCGTTCGGAAAATGAATAACTGAGCAATTAAAACATGAAACATAGTACACCACTCTCCACTAGAAGCGCAAAAATTTAATTTGAAAGGGAAACATCTCCACAGTTCCTTTATACCAACGGTACTATGTGCTAACTTGCTGCCAGCTAGCAGCGCCCCTGCTAACATTGCTAACGTTAGCACGAACTGGAAAGGATCACCGTTTCACCGAGTATCCGCAAATTTCTCGACAAAAGTCACTCATTTCCTTCGACACACATTATGTTGACTGCGGTGAACTTACCCTCGTTCTTTCACGGACGCCACCAGTCAGTCCCCCCGCTCGGCCTCCGCTTGTGGCTTGAAATAGTGGATTCCCGATTGACACTTCTTGCAGCCGCGAGTTGGGCTTCTTCCGAGTTGAGCGGCAGATATGTCAGCTGACCCGCAGCCGCGTTGGGCTGAGGCAGGAAAAGGCGCGGCTGCTGCGACGAGTACAATCGCACCCAGTCAGGCTTGACCACGATAAACTGCAAGCCGCATCGGTCAGCCTTTGATAAAATTCGCGATTGTTATTCTTAACGTTATCACCACTGTACTCCTTTTCCACATTTCTCAACCGATCCCAACAATTCAAATGCTTCACTACATTCAGGGCATTGTGGGAACCGTTTCCCGACATTTGAAAGGATTCCCACTTGACCCAGAATTACAATTTTAACCCTCTCCCAATTTTTACACATCTCATGATAAACTCCATATTAAGAGATACATTTAGTATGTTTACGCAGGGATGGGCCTCCACTGGACTAGGGTGTGCTCGGGCACGAATAAGCGTAGTCCCATTTAAAACACTCCACGTGCCGTCAAATGAGGGTCACTTTACAACAAGAAAAATTAAACCTGACAAAACGAGATTGAAAGTCACCATGAGGAATATTAAAGTCAAGATGAGAATTAGAGTCGCAATGATGAGAAATAATGTCATCCTGACGAGATCATGATCGATCTAGTCTCGTCAGGATGATTTCAAATCTCGTGATGACGATTTTAAACCACGTATTGATATGTTTCTCGACACGGCGAATTTAAAAGTCGTTTTCGTACATTTTGTGTGACCTCAATATGCCGCGTCATATGACGAGTTAAAATCATTATAGTGACCCGAATACACTGAATTAAAAACAAGAGTGCAATTTATTACGCATCCGTTCCATGTAGACTTGTGACCTCATCTTTGTGCGTGTTCTACTTCTGGCGTCACAAAACCGAACGCAATGTGACCGGTTGACTCGCGATGACGATTTTTAATCTTGCCACGATGACTTCACCTATCGTCATTGTGTTGTTAAATCTCGTTATGAAATGAGGTCCTGTGAAACGTTTTCCTACGTTCCAAGTATTCCCACCTCCCCAACATTTCATCCCCTCCCCAAATTCCAGACTTTTTACAATAAAGTTTCCAAAATAATGTATTTTGTTTATTTCCTTCCTCAGCCACGACGCACACAAATACCACGATATGACGCCGATGACGATTAGTGACGCCACCGCTTTAATTCTCCGTGTCAAATTTAGCCTTTTTTTCTTGTTAATATGGTTTTAAATGGTAAATCTGAGTGATTTGTGACGCATGGTAAAAATACTTCGGCTAGCAGATTAGCTCCATCAGAGGGAAATGACAGGTCAAATTTTATTTAAAAAAAATCGGGCCTTCTGTGAGAACGTTCCAAACAGTATCAAGCACTTCCTCCTTTCATCCGCATGTGGAGGAGGGCAAGACATGGCCAGTTCACCTACCTCCCAGACTCTACATTTTCACCCGTTTGCTTTCAGCAACACTGCGCCGCGTGACTGGAGTCACAGTGGCCCACAATTCATCCAATTGTTGCGCCGAGGGCTCAAATAAACAACGCCGTCACTCTGTCCGCGTGAAATACGTAATCCTCCGGAATAAAATGAATTTTTAATAGATGTACCTGTAATCTGATTGCTTATTTATTCTGTAACTATAACGGAATAGTTAAATATGTTTTTGTTTTCTGGATGGGTAACGTTGGTACATGTATAACGTTACACAAAAAAGTCTGTTCATAAAATCTTAGGTGATTATCACGCCCCTAAAATTTAAAAAAAAAAATGTTGCTGTAAATTTCCGCTGATTGAGATGTTTTACATATGTACTTATCCTCTCCCTCCAGATTTCTTGACCCATTCCAAGCATTCCAAATCCAAAACATCTTGAGAAGAATCAGTATTCCACAAAGTCAATTTTTTTTTTCAAAAATTACTCTAAATTATTCTACATTTCATGAACAATTTTAATAACCATACCAACTCCACTTGATTCATAAGCAATCCATTATCGGATCCTAACAAAGGGCCGTGCTGTAGCCTATCCCAGTTGTCTTTGGGCAGTAGGCGGGTGACATGCTGAGTGGCTTGCCAGCCAATTGCAGGGCACACAAAGACAACTATTCTTGCTCACAACCATACCCTGGACAATTTAGAGTGTTCAATCAAACTGCCATGCATGTTTTTGGAATGTACCCAGAGAAAATCCACGGAGGCACAGGGAGAACATGCAAACTCCACACAGGAAGTCCCCAGTCTGAAATCGAAACCCGCACCTCCCCACTGCAGCTGGGTTTTAAAAGCCAGATATTCAATTGATATGCGTGCGCAGCAGTGGAATGTATTATTTTGTTGTCGTTTCTTTTTTAATCCAAAAGGCGATGCTTTTTTGTGCATCTGCACTGATGCAAGCTAACAAGATGATCTTCCCTTGGGGACTGGAGAAACATGCATGAACATTACTGGTGTGGTCTTTGTTTTTTTTTTTTTCAAATACGTAAAAACCATCAATCCCAAGAATTCTCAGTGTGGTATGAGTACTACTCGTTGTGGACACGGGTTGCCTCAGTGGTATGCAACTTTATAGAAGTGTTTGTTTTCAAATATTTATTCAGGTAAAAACTTCATTTAACTTGTGTTTTCAGGATAGTTATGTGCTGCACTACGACACATTTTGACTTTTTGTTATCAATCTGGTCTGTGAAAACACACACACATACAAACACAACATCATCATGAAGTTCAGTCATAAAACTATATTTATAAATAAAAAGACATTTCCTTGATAAAAGTGTAGTGTGAGAGACGTGGTAGGATTTTTCCCCCATCACTACACATTGCAACAAGACCAATTTAAAATGCTTGGGTTAAGAGAGTGAACTGTAATTATGTAGTGTACAAATTACTTGAACTTGAGCATCGTGTTTTGCACCGTAAAATAAAACTGGTTATGATCAACTACACATATGATCATTCTCTTTCTGACAGGACTGAGATTCTCTTGGATTATTTTTTTTTTCTCATAGGTCAAGCAAACATTTAAATCTGAACATGTTAACAGTTAGTGTCCAATCCAACGTTGTTTGGTCAGTGAAGGAGGCTAAAGGCCTTTTTCTCCGTCAGTTCTGACAGGGACTCGTGGGGGGAGGACAAAGAATGTTGAGATAAGGAGGACAGGCAGGAGGGAAGAGCGTAGAGAAACACAAATGAAAAACATCCACGTAGAAAAGCACTGAGTCATCCTCCCAATCTGTCTGTTTGCACCATTTCCCTCCCTCTTACTGGCTTTTTGTCCTTGCACTAAATCTTCCCCATTGAGAGGCGGAAACTCACAGGCGCTTTGGTGCCAACTTTAGCAAATTAGGGAGTTGGGGGTAGGGGGTTCTTCACTGAAGAAAGTATGGCCACAACTACTTAGAAATTAAGAAGAGAAACACTAAAGAGGCGGAACATTTTTTGTCCTCACGCGCGCGCACGCACGCATTCACACACCATGACCAGTTGCATCCATGCTTTTGGGAATTGGAGGCCTTGGAATACACCTGCTGCAACATTCACCTCTGTTCTCCTCCGACACTAGGTGGCCCCAATCTGCTACGCTTTCATTTGCTCGCCCTCGAACCCGAGTCACATTACATCTACAAAGAACTCGCCAGCATTGCCCACCGACATACGCAAGGACTGGCGTGACACGGTGAGCTCGGCAGGGGCGGCGGCCAGCTCCCGGCCAGGGGGTGCTCCGGGTGCGGTTGTAGGCAGATGAGGCGGCTGCGGGGGCAACCCGGGGGGGCCGTAGACGAGGCCCTGCCCGTAGGCTAACGAATGGGCGTTGGCACTGCGGTGGCTCAGCGAGCTACGGACGCTTCGCTCGCTAGGGGGAGCCGCCGAGCGCTCGCTGGGAGCTCGCTGGCTCCTGATCTCGGCTTCGCTCCCGCTGCCGCCAGATTTCCGCCCCTCGTTTTTGCTGCAGTTTGAGCCGCTGCTTTCTGTGGACACAGGCGAGCAGACAGTGAATATTAGTCGTGTGTAAATCATTGACTCAATCCGAGTCACAAACAAGAGCTGCTGGCTCCCACCAGGGTGCCAGTAAAAAGCCAACCGCACATATCTGACCTACTTTTTACACATTACATGCTTTTGTTTAATGGCGGCATAAAGGCCAATAATTTTTCTAAAAGATCCGATGGCTCTTAATGACTTTAACACAAAAACAACTGCGTGTCATAGAGTGACTCTATAAAGAGGAAGTAAAATGTTGGCACACCCCAGTTCAAATGCCAGGTTTTTGTGATAAATCATGTCAAAATATTTCAGAGATTAATTTGACCTTTAGCTGCTACAACCATAAGAAAAAATCCTTGTGAAAGACGGGAAGTAAAAATAAACAACAAAGACACTGCGTACGCACTTTTTTATACCTGAGTTTGAGCCTGTGTTCAGAATGACCCAATGACATTCAAACAAGTTAACTGGGAGTCAGCACACGTTTGCCACAAATTGCAGGACCTCCCATCAATCTAAAATACTTTGGCTTTTCTCGTAGGCCTTTCCCGACCTTTTTTTTTTTGTAGTCACATCTTACAGAACAAGCCATTCTCTGCAGAGAGTTTGCACATCATTGGGGTGAATCTCATTTTTCAAAGGTATCAGTCAAAAGAAGAGTCCGAAATTCACAATCAAATACGCCAGGTTCCCTCACGTCATTGTCAGAGGCACTCTCGTTGCGGTGCAACTCCTCAGAAATGATCCCGGCTTTTGTGAAAGCTCGAACAGCGCAAGCAGACATGTAAGACCGAGCATCCATAATCCATTCACATATTCGCAGTCTTAGTAAAGCTGTGTTCGCCTTTGCTCCCACACCGCTTGCAACTTCACAATGGCCATTTCTGTCCATTAACATGGCAACCAAGCACAACGGTAAAAGCCGATTTCACACTCCCTGTTGTGCGTATTGCTACCATGTTGGGCCCTTTATTCTCTACAGTGTAGTTCACCGGGACGTCGAAAGTCAGCGGCACCTTGTCCAGGTTCGTGACGTGGGCTGGGTGTATTTGTTGGCAATCTTTTTGTTGTATTTAACAATACAAAGTATGCTTGTCTCTCACCACTTGCCGTAACCCAGGCAGGTATGTCGGAATGTGAGAATTGGTTGAAAGAACAGTCTGTAATGGAAGCTAAGTGAGGCTGGTAGGGGGCATGACAGAAAATAATTGAGAAGCACTGATTTAATGTAACGCATTACACATTTTACTGCAGTAGGAATGGAAGATGGCTATCTTTTCCTGATAATCCAGCGGACGTTCCTGCACCACTGTTGTCCTTGCCCATACGGTGCCGTGCAACTGAAAACACTATATTACCAAAAGTATTTGCTCACCCATCTAAATGACCAGAATCATGTGTCCTAATTACTTGGCCTGGCCACAGGTGTATAAAATCAAGCACCTCAGGCATTACGACTGTTTTGACAAACATTTGTGAAAGAATGGGTCGCTCTCAGGAGTTAAGTGAATTCCAGCGTGGAACTGTCATAGGATGCCACCTGTGCAACAAGTCCAGTCGTGAAATTTCCTCGCTCCGAAATATTCCACAGTCAACTGTCAGCTTTTTTTATAAGAAATTGGAAGAGTTTGGGAACAACAGCAACTCAGCCACAAGGTGGTAGGCCATGTAAACTGACGGAGAGGTGTCAGCGTATGCTGAGGCGCATAGTGCAAAGAGATCGCCAATTTTCTGTACAGTTAATTGCTACAGAGCTCCAAACGTCATGTGGCCTTCAGATTAGTCCAAGTACAGTACGCAGAGAGCTTCATCAAATGGCTTTCGTTGACAGAGCAGCTACATTCCAGCCATACATGCAGTCGTGTAAAGCAGTGGTCCCCAACTTTTTTTGCCCCACGGACCGGTTTAATGTCAGACAATATTTTCAGGGACCAGTCTTGTGGTGGTCGAGTGTGACCACGGTGTGACGGATAAATACAACAAAATAATATATGACCTGCATGAAAACTGTGTTATTTTCTAAACATAATAAAAAACACGAATCATGACACGAGGAACATCTTATCTGGCTGCAACACTCTCTGGTCGCTATGGTTTAAGGTTTAAACGTGCCTTCATAATAAGATGCAGAGTAGGCTTGGTGCGTGGGAATCTCCCATTGAGATAAATCTGTATTTTAAGTTAAATGTAGCCTTCTCTTTCTTGAAAGTCGTAGGCTCCCTCTTCTGTCTCCTGGCTGGGCCTTTTTGCCTTGCCAAAGACGTTTGTTTTTTACTCATTTTGCTAGGTCCTGTGTTTCATTTTAGCGGTAACTCACGTGACCGAGAAGCGCGCCTTGACCTGCGTCAAGAATGACATACAGTTGACGGATGTAATAGAGAATCTGGTAATTTTTCAAAATAAAACATCTTTCAGATTTCAAAATGAATAAAACGGAATGCAAGTTATTCTTTCTGTGCGGCCCGGTACCAAATGACCCATGGACCGGTACAGGTCTGTGGCCCGGGGCTTGGGGACCACTGCTGTAAAGCACGCTGCCACTGGAATATAGAACAGTGGAGACACGTTTTTCCATCTGACTATCTGATTGACGAGTCTGGGTTTGGAGGTTGCCAGGAGAACAGTACATTTCGGACTGCATTGTGCCGAGAGTGAAATTTGGTGGAGGAGGAATTACAGTGTGGGGTTGTTTTTCGGGAGTTGGGCTTGGCCCCTTAGTTCTAGTGAGAGGAAGTTTGAATGCTTCAGGATACCAAAATATTTTGGACAATTCCATGCTCCCAACCTTATGGGAACAGTTTGGAGCGGGGCCTTTCCTCTTCCAACATGACTGTGCACAAAGCAAGATTCAAAAAGACATGGATGACAGAGTCTGGTGTGGATGAACTTGACTGGCCTGCACAGTCCTGATCTGAACCCGATAGAACACCTTCGGGATGAATTAGAGCGGAGACTTGGTCGAGAAGGCCTGGCTCTCAACATCAGTGTGTGACCACACCAATGTAGTTTGGGAAGAGAGATAAAAAATTTCCATGAACACTCCTCTACTTTGTGGACAGCCTTCCCAGGAGAGTTGAAGCTGTAATAGCTAAAAATGAAGACCGATATCATATTGAATGTTATGGGTTAGGAATGGGATGGCACTTCAGTTCATATATGAGTCAAGGCAGGTGATACTTTTGGTATTTTAAACTGTGCTTAGTAAGCATGTCTCTTCGTAGGTGCCATTTTCAGACGTTTTGTACAATGCACGTCCAGGCACCTACTGAGGGCATGCGTTTAGCATCCTCAGTTTCCTCTATGTAAGCAATGTGTCGGCACAACATCAGTCTACCAAGCGGACACCTCATCAAAGTCACACAACAGCCTTTACAGATTTTGCATTATTCGGCGTCCATTTTGGAGAAAATGCAAGACTTTTCTGGGAATTTTATGGTCATGACAAAACAGTACATATACCATGAAGACAGTCAACACGCGAAGAAAATATGGCACAACACAAACATTATCAAGAATTCGCCAAAACCAACAGAAGAAATTGGGTCAGGGAGGCTGCCAAGAGTCCGACAGACACATACAAGAAGCTGCCGGAATTTCTGGGAAATAGTGGATGCTTCACCCATCACAATGTCTAGCCTTCTCCATATATTTAGGCTGAGGTTGTGTGACAAGATTATTCATCCATCCATCCAGAGCAGTTTATCCTCACGAGGGCCGCGGTTGTGCTGGAGCAAATTCCCGCTGACTTGGGGCAGTAGGCCGGGTCCACCCTGAACTGGTTGCTAGTGAATCGCAGGGCACACAGAGACAAACAACCAATTGCGCTCACACTCATACCCTTAGGACAATTTAAAGCAGTAGTTCTTAACCTGGGTTCGATCGAACCCCAGGGGTTCGGTGAGTCGGTCTCAGGGGTTCGACAGAGCCTCTGCCATGGAGGTCAAGACACACCCGACTCAACATGTCAATTCGTTATGACACGCCCACTTGGCCGTCCCTGGCTGCAGATGATCACATGACATCGCTTGTCCAATCAGTGCTGTGGGAAATTTAGCACGCTTTGTAGTCAACGTGTTACTGTCATGGTAGTACGTCGTACAATTAAAAAAAAAAAAAGTAAACTTATCTCTTGAAATTTTATTTACTTTTTTTTCTGTTTTTAATAAATGCATTTTTTAATATCTTGAATTTGTCAAAAATATATTTATTTTTCACTCATGAAGGGTTCCGTGAATGTGCATATTAACTGGTTGGGTTCGGTACCTCTAAAAAGGTTAAGAACCACTGATTTAGAGTGTTCCATTAACCTGTCATGTTTTGTAATGTGGGAAGAAACCGGAGTACCCGGAGAAAACCCACGCAGGCACGGATTGAACTCCACACAGGAATGCCGGATAAGACCCCATGACCTCTGCACTGTGAGGTGGACGTGCTAATTAGACGACCACTGTGCCACCCCGTAAGCCTTATATTGTCTTTGAAAAGAAAAACATTTGAGCCTGTCTACATTTTACAAAGACGCATTTTAAATCGCCTAAACCCAAATGGTGTTAGTTGATGTAAAAACGTTGAGAACCAAGTCACAAAACTTTAAACAAAAGTTCTGGGATAACTGTGTGGGCAGACGGTGGGCTAGGTAAATATTACTAATATTTGAGCAAACTGCTGCAACCACAATGTCTGACTTTCCACTCCCACACGGTGATTATTTCAAATCCAAGTTGGTGGATGGCGGGATTTTTGGGAGAAATCGGTTTACTTCTGACAGAGGCAGGCTATGTTCTTGTAGCCCTTTGAGCAGAGTGAAAGTAAACATGGTTCACTGGTTCCATTTCTGGATTCAAAGAGTAGACATCACACTTGTATACAAGTGGTACTTTATGCAATACAGAGTATTAGTAAAGCTATGTAACTGACTACAAACTAAAAGTGTTCCTAATGGCCTGAACTAAATTGTATATATGCTACATACTTAACGATAATAATTAGAGCTGTCAGTTTAGCGCGTTTTTATTGGCATTAATTTAAATGAATTTTAACGGGATAAATTTTTTTCTCGCGAGATTAACGCGGCAGACGTCACAGCGGATGTTACGTTGCTCTATAAATAAACCAGAAACAACAAGCGCGCTGCACATGTCCACGCACGTTTGTTTTGCCAGCCACGGCAGCGCGAGACACCGAAAACGGATACTTTAAGAATTTATGAATGGAAAGTTTACTTTTAAAAAGTTGCCAGATTGTTCCACTGACAAGACCAAAGTTACCTGTATGTTTTGCAGTCGTAAACTGAGCTATCATCATAGTACGTCGAGTCTGAAATACTGAAATACCACTGAATGGCCAAGCACACAGCTGACGTGAGTACTCCGCCCCCTCGTCTCAGACAGACAGCTAAGGATCATTTCAAAGTGAAGAAAATGGATGACAGTACGAAGAACAAATTTGTTGAAGCCATAGCTAAATGTATGGCTACTGCATCCAAGCCTGTCAACATTGTCCACAGCTCGACTCAAGCTGAAACTGACGCACTTGTTACTTGTTTGGAACTATTTTGTGTGGAAATTTACAGTGTTCCGTGGCCATATAAATAAAGCGGGTGGAGCTTCACCGTCGCTGAGGCACCTCGAGAGTTCAGCGGTGCAGTGGTAGCGACCTAGCGAATACACTGAAAATAAAACGTCTCCAGTGTTGTCATCTAACCAAGTGTAGTCATCCGAAATTATGTCTATACAAAACCGTAGAGAGACTGCCGCGCAAGAAGGACCAACAGAATCAACATGGCCTGACTGCTGTGTTCAAAGCAAACTTGAGAAAAACGAAGTATGCAACCATGGCTTAAATCCACTATAGGCTGAGTACTAGTTTACCTTAGAGGTGCACTTTATAATGTTATATTGCTCTGTTTTGATTCCATAAAAAGAGCTGTTAAAGCAGCTGTTGTGTGACAAAATATTTAAGAGATTATGTGTGAATAACTGCTCATAGTGAAAAATGTTCATGTAAAATTGAAAATCGAAATTGTTATTTCAGTAAATATTTGCATTTTGCACGTAGAAAACTGATTCATGATCCCATGTTGATGAGAGCATTAAAATGGGGAAAAATTAGACAATATAAAAGGAAATTCAGAAATTATAAAAAAATGCGTGAGTAATCATGATGAATTTTTAGTTAATTATGACAGTTGCGTTTTTAATTAGATTAAATATTTTCATCGTTTGATAGCGCTAACAATAATACAAAACATTCTATTTAGCACTATTTTATCACTGCTCACTGCCAGGGACGGTGTTTAAAGCACTGAATGTTCCCTTCGTGCATGCACCGTTCGGGGAATGCATATCAAATTATGACTCACCTGTGACCCCTGAATAACCCCGAATGGGTGTAAATGCTGTCACCAGAGGTTTGTTTCTTACAGAATCTTCTCGCGTGAACGCAAAGATCCCGAGTGACAGGACACCCTGGCGGTCATTTGGGATCCATAGAACCGTATAGTTACAGAGGTAACTTTTGTTTTATCGTTACAGTCCCATTTTACTTTACTCTTAAAAACTAATGGCTTGCAGATAGCTGGTTTAAAAATAAAACAAAACAAAGAAGAAGCAAGGGTGTGCATGTACTTGCAATAGCAGCCAAGACTCTCAGTAGCTGCCATGAATAAGTTAAAAACGTAGCTCCTCCTTAACATACATGTGTCTCATAGTCGTGATGCATCACCTACCTCAACATACTTCCATGACACCAATTACTGTCCTACTTTTCTATTTCAACGAAGCTTTGGTGCCGTCTTAATTCAGAGAAAGCACAAAAATAGCTGGGGATAGACTTCACAGAAATACAAAATAGGTGAATTTGGAAATAATGAACCACAAATATATGGGTGGCGGGGGGTGCTGTATATCATCCAGCTTTTAAAAAAAATCTATATACAGCTTGACTCAATTCCAATAATCATGTCTGGAGTTTGCATATGCGGACATAAAGGAACGGAGGGAAGTGTTGTGTTCCTCTTCCCTTAGGTGGATACAGTTTCATCGCTCATTCGGTTTGTGCACTCACCGCTGTGCTGGCTTCCGGCACTGCCAGCTGCTGGCCCACCGTGGAAGGGCTGCGGCAGGTCATAGGGGTGAGGGATAGGGAACTGGTAGGGCAGAGGCAAAGGCCAGGGAGCTGCCCCAGGGTGGGGCAGAGGTGGAAGGGTGTCCTGATCTGAGGCGCCCCCACTGGAACCATCGTGGTCATGGAGCGACAGGTGAGTCATATCTGTTGGGCAAAAAAGGGGGGAAAGACATTTTTAGCCTGTTTTACTCGACAGCCGTTGACATACAGTGCCGTGAAAAACTACTTGCCCTCTTCCTGATTTCTGTTCTTTGCATATTTATCACACACAGATTTCAGTTCATCAAACCATTTTCATATCACACAGAGGCAACCCAAGCAAATACAAAATGCAGTTTTAAAAATGCCAATTTAATTCATTTTAACAAAAAATAAAATAAAATAAAACCTACCTGTCCCTATGTGAAAAAGTAATTGCCCTCTGAACGTAATAATGGTTTGTGCTACCTTTGGCAGCAATAATCAAAATCACGCATTTGTGATAATTAATTGGTGAGTCTTTTACATCACTGCGGAGGAATTTTGGCACCAAGTTCTTTGCAGAATTGCTTCAACTGGAGGGTTTTATAGCATGAACTGCCCATTTAATGTCACGTCACAGCATCTCAATTGGATTCAAATTGCAATTGGATTCCAAAACATTAATTTGTTTTTTTCAGTCATTCAGAGGTGGACTTGCTGGTGTGTTTTGGATCGGTGTCCGGCTGCATGATCCAAGAGCACTTGAGTTTGCAGGCGCAAACTAATTGTTGGACGTTCTCCTTCAGCCTTTTCTGGTAGACAGCGGAATTAATTGTCCCATCAATCACAGGAAGTCGTCCTAGTCCTGAGGTAGCAAAGCAGCCACAGACCCTCACACTGCCATCACCATGCTTCACTGCTGGCATAATGTTCTATTTATCAAATCCTGTGCCATTTTTACCCCAGATGTAACGGGCCGCACATCTTTTATTTTCTAAAAGGCTTGCGCATCATCAAGATGTCTTTCGGCAAATGTGAGACGAGCCTTTGTGTTGTTTTTGGACAGCAGTGGTTTTTGCCTGGGAACTCTCCGATGAATGCCATTTTTGGCCAGTATCTTTCTTATGGTACAGTTGTGAACACTGACTTGAACTGAGGCCAGCGAGGTCTGGAGTTCTTGGGGTGGTGTTTTATGTTCTTTTGCAACCTCGTGGATGAGTCGTCGTCGCACTCTTGGAGTAATTTTAGCTGGTTGACCATTTCTCGGAATGTTTCCTATTTTTCCCACTTTTCCCCATTTGTGGATAATGGCTCTGACCGTGGTTTGCTGAAGCCCTAGAGGTGTGGAAATGGCTTCGTAACCTTTTCCAGACTGACAGATTTCATTCACTATTTTTTCTAATTTCGTCTTGAATTTCTTTGGATAATAGCATGATGCGTATGTTTCTTGAGATCTTGTAGTCTATTTCACTTTGTCTGACAGATTCTATTTGTGATTTCTGGATCCAACAAACATTGGTGCTATGGTGTTGCTTGTAAAAGTGAAACTGTCGTTAGTCTCTGTTAGTTTGTGATTTAACAAGGGGAACAATTACTTTTTCACGTTGGGACATAAGTTTTTGGATGTTTTTTGCATCTTGATGAATTTCATTCGCATTTAGAAACTGCATTTTGTATTTCCTTGGGTTTCAGTCTCAGTGTGATATTAAAATTGGTTTGACGAACTGAAGCCTCTGTATGTGATAACTATGCAAAGAACATAAAAATCAGGAAGGGGGCAAATAGTATTTCACAGCACTGTATACGCTAATAATTGTACTTATTATGTCAATGATATAGAAATAGGTCAAAAATTCACGATGTAGAGAGACCGTATCGATTTTGTTTTTTTGAAGTCTACTAAACATGTTTTACTGGGGAATTCCATTTCCACTTACTGCCACAGAGGTCTCCAAAAACATAGTAGCACTGCTCAGAAAAGGTGATCTTGTTAACAGTATGTCGGATGTAGCCAGCCTTCAGAAGGTTGCTGGCGTATTTACGCGCTTCTCTGCGATCTGTGAAGCCTTCCACGTGATGGAAGAGCCAATCCACCACATCAGAGCCTAATGACACAATAGAACAACATTGTTTCAAACTCAACTCAAAAGATTCAAAGGTGTGGCGTTGAAGGCAGAAAAAAAATTGACATGTCTTATTTTCCAGACAATACCAATGAAGGCGTTAGCGATGGTGATCTTCAACCACATCCTGTCTCGCACTTCCAGGCCTGACTCTGGACAGGCCATTGCCTTGGCAACTGTTGCCATGTCACTGTGAATGGAGAGGTGGAAGTCATCAAATCCTAGAAAGACAAGAGAAGATATGTATGCATTAACATAGAGTCCCATCTTAAGCGGTATTCACACAAGATTTTGTTTGTGGTGTATTGAAAATGACCAACACAGCACAGCAAACACTTAAGGCTGTTTTGCACCCTGCACTTAGCACAGCGCAGTCTTTATTGTCGGAGCTGCAATTCCGCAATGGCGCTGCATTGTTGTGTGATAGGTGGCAGCACGCAAGATTGGCGCCTGCACTAATGGGCGGCCCATTGCAAAAAGTTCAACTCGGCAGCAAGGCACTGTGACAACACCTTGCCGGATCCATGAAGAGAGATGTTGCTGCAATGATTTCTGAGAGCCAACAGGAGGATATTGGTACACTGAAAAGAGCATGAAGTAAATTAGTGAGGTGTTTAAGTAAACTGAGCTATGGAACACTTAACACATGTGGCGTATGTGGTAAAGAAGGCAGAGCTAAGGACAGAGGTGTTCACTACTTTTTATGTACCAGGTTGGTTGAAAATGGTAGCAACTTCTGATGTGAGCATTTTAACCATTACAAATGTTATCTTAAATTCAAAGAGAGCAGGGGTGTCAAACTCATTTTTGTCGCGGGCCACATTGAAGTTACGGTTTCTGTTGGAGGGCCGTTATGAATTTTGAGAAACCATATAAGTGTTTCATCACCTCCACATATTACATATACAGCGCACAACAAATTAATGGATAACTAGTTTTAAAATCAGAAGTCAAGAATAATGACTGTTATTGCGGATTACATATGACAATTAGAAATTTTGTTACAGACTTTAGCAATCATCATGGAACTTGACATGCTTGATTTGCTTTCGCGGGCCACATAAAATGATGTGACAGGCCAGATCTGGCCCCTGGGCCTTGACTTTGACACCTGTGAAATAGAGCATGGCCGCACAATACTCCACATCTCCTCATCCTTGTTATAAGCAAAGCCAAGTCTTCCGTTGTAAGTTCAAACCGGTGGGAGAATGCACCAAGCTACTTCCTGTTCGATTGCTTAGAAATCAATGCCAAATATGGATTAACTTGCGCTGGGCCGCTGTTGCCCTTGCATCGTCCCGCAGTGTGAAAACCAAATGGCAGCATATCATTGACTTTAATCTGCCCACCTACAATCGAGATTTTCATTCGGCAAATCAAAAGTCTTCACATGACCCAGACTGTTGGAAAGTCAAGAAGCAGGGTAGGCCAGGTGTTAGACAACTCCCACTTTCCCCCTCATCATGTCTATTTGATGAAAAATCCAAATAAACATTCAAGCTTCTTACACTATGTATTTGTTTGTTCTAATTCTGTCATCTTGAATCCCGCTTGGCTGTGGACTTTGTGGCTTGAACGTCCTTGTTGTTGTGCCCACTCAACAGGGATTTTTCTATTTTAAACATTTAATGTTTTTAAGGCTAGCAATCATCAGCCAGATCGATCCCAAGCAGATAATTCTTAACACACCTCATCCCACGCGATAAAACTTTGCTGATTTTGGTCAGAATGGGGGAAATAATTTACTGTCACAGTTTAAGTATTCACATTGTTCCTCTTTCAAACTTTTGATGCATACACCGGTCTGTTTTAGAAATCATAAATATGTGGTTTGCTGGGACTGCTCCTCTATCTGGACAGAAAACCTGGTTGGATTAAACTAGTTTTGTTTAACTTGGATTTAAATCTTGACAAAGATGTTCAATAACAGCCAGGACATAGCGAACTCAATGTCCTCCCTAAAAGCCAAATAGAGACACAGCGTTCCTCTCAATTTATTTTTTGTTTTGTGCAAGACTTGTGGGGTGACGAAGCATATTGTCTTTCAGTTTTTTGCCCTTGATGGGCCTTATAAGATCCCAGTTAGGTCAGTAATTCCTTCATTATCCTAAATTAAAGAGCATCCTCTTTCCCTCCAAAATGCCTGCTGGGAGTAGTAAGAAGTGTGCAGCAATGACCTACTGGAGTGAATCTTTTCTGAGGTCAAAATAACAAAATGGGTTCTGTGCTCAGCACATTCTTTTAAGGTTTTCATAGGTGAACTGCTTTCTGAATGGACACATTGTTTACTTTGTTTATTTCCTGAATACACCAACTATGTGTTGGGAGTGTGTATGAAACAAAAATCATATCCTTTTCGTAGTTGAATCTTTTCGTCAGATTGCATCGTGTCTTTTTTTTCATGCGAGTGGGTTTTTTTTTTTTTTTTTGTTTTGACTCATGCAATCTGAGACCACGAAAACTTTTAGCCTAAACTCTTTCACCTTCATTCTTAACGTGTTAAACGTGGCATGATTACAAATTCAAGCCTAAACATAGTACAAAAGAATTCCACCTTTAAAGTGGATCTAGAACTCACGGGAACAAAAAAGGTTTATAAGAATAAATCTGGACACGCAAGTTTTACATGACAAAGAGAAATCATCTCAAAGGATGAAAAATAAAACGCCAATCCTCAATATAAGCGGGGAGATAAAAGTTGTGAGTTACGACTGACTTTTGACAAGGGTTATTGAACAGATGGGACGCTCGCTCTGAGGCTGAATGCAGTGAAACGCTGAACACAGTAAAATCTGGAGAACAGACTAGTTGCTGGAATGCAGTAAGAGGGATGGGCTCGCCGAGATTTACTAACATGTCTGAGGGGGATACTCAACGTGATATGGCTTTATAAGTCAGGGTGTGAAGGAGACAAGGCATTCTAAGTGGGATGATATTCAGATGTTAAAAAAGAAAAAAAAAAAAGAATGGCTTTGAGCTCTGCGGCACTAAATTGTAGTCCTCAAGGTGTCAATGTGCAATTAAACTAGGCATACATATTATGCAAACCATCAGTTCATAAACTGTGCATCCATCAATACTTAGTACACCCAATCAGGTGTTCTATAATTCATATTTATACATTACTTTCAATACCCCATCCACTTTACAATAAAATCACAAATATTACTAAAACATAAGTAGACTATATTCACTACATCCCACATAACATGCAACATCATAATCTTCATTTTTTGTAGATTTTTTTTTTTTATTAGCTTTTGGGATTTCTTTTAAACTGACATTGTATGCATCCTATCATGGGATTGTTGCTGACTTCGCATTGATTGCAGCTTAGTCATACTGGAAGGGGGATCCCTCCATCTGCAATCCCTTCGCAATCATATCACATCAATTGTACCTAACACAGGATGGCCTTGCACATGGCGATCGGACTCACGTTCAGTTTCTGGAATGGAGCTGCTGATGGAGGAGCTGGTGGAAGTGACGGTGCTCATGGAGGGGCTCATACCGTAGGCAGGATACACTCCAGTCATTGCTGCAGTATGCGACACCCATGCCGCAGGGTCAATGGGTCGAATTGGCTCACCTGTAGGATCAAATGTAAGGTTGGTTCATCTTAAGCCAAAGTAGGCAAACATTCAAAAGAAGGCTTTGGACTGAGTTGCAACATCCATGTTATTACAGTGCCTGACAGCATTGATTAAACCATGGCGCTGCGGCAATTAAATGTGCTGTGAGCCAGCAGGAGGAAATGAATCCAGTTTCATTTCATTATTCATAAATCTATTACTTGTATGATACAAATAATGTATCTTTATTCATCTATGTCAGCGACAATTAATGACAAATAGAACAACAATTAAATGCTGTTCCACTACCACCACATATCATCACTATTTCAGTATATAAACTTTGGGTGACATTTTTGTTTGGTGTGGTGGTGTGGAATTTTTGGGATAATGTTAAATATGTGCGCCTTGGTTCAAAAAATGTTAGGAAACACTGCCCTAAACACAGTGAAGCCAAAAGAAAATGCACTCACTTCTCGGCAGAGCAAAGCAGCTCCGTGGGTTTGGGTCCCAGCACTTAGCCACAGTTAAAGTTATGGGACTGGTAAGAAAAACATGCAACATTTTGCACATTTAGTGCGACATTTACAATGTACTGTGAGAACACTGGTGAGTTCCTGTTACCCGGGCTTGTGTACGATGTCACGAAGCACTCGAACTGCATCATCATTGCTCATGTTCTCAAAATTGATGTCGTTCACCTGCAGGTCACCCCAAAACAAAAGAACCCGCTGATCATTTTTTCATTTGCTTAGTTGTAGTAGTACAGTCAAACCTTGGTTTTCGACCATAATCCGTTCCAGAAGGCTGTTCAAAAACCGATTTGTTCGAAAACCGAAACCATGTTTCCCATTATAATCAATGGAAATGTTTTAAATCCGTTCCAAGTCTAGCAAACAATTTTTTAAAAGCATTTTTTCCCAACTATTTTACACCATAAACTGTATACATGTGTAATAAGAGAGCAGGTAACAACAAACTACAAACATTTGGTATGTTTTATTTTTACCAATTTTAACAAACATTGTAACATAAAAATTGCTCTCTCTCTCTCTCTCTGTGTGTGTGTGTGTGTGTGTGTGTGTGTGTGTGTGTGTGTGTGTGTGTGTGTGTGTGTGTGCGACAATTGTAGATTGCATTCTTTTACACCTTCAGAGATGAAAGTGGACTTTCCTGAAAATTCCAGAAAAAATAAAAAATTATATATACTGTGTATA